GGCGCTGGGAGCCGCCGGCGAGGTCTTCACCTGGGGCGGCGGCAGGTGAGCGGGGGCTGTGCGGTCACAGGGGTGCGGGAGAGGGGCGGCAGCGGGCTCGGGAGGGAAGCTGGTGGGTCACGGGTGGGGATTCAGGAACAACAGGATAAACGCTGCGCCGAGGGTATGCAGAGAGAATAATGGGGGTGCAGAATGAGTGTAGAGGATATAGGAGGGGCTTTGTGAGGTGCAGGTGAGAGGATGTCTGGATGGGGGTCACCTCAGGGACTGAGCCCCCCGTTAGCCTGCAGGCCTTAGACACACCAGTTTGCATCTCTGTAGTGTTGACTGATGAGTCAACACAGTAAAATAATCTAATTAATTACAAGCATTAATATATAATAATCTAATTAAATATACAATAATATGATATTTAATTATATATTTAATTATATATTTAATTATATAAATATTATATATAATATATTATAATTAAATATATAATAACCTAATATTAAATATATAATAATCTAATTAAATGGTAAGCAGTGAGTTCACTAATAGCCACCCTGTTCATTGCATCCTGTGTGACTCCTGGGGTCCCTGCTCTGTTACTGCTCCTCTGTTAACTCGCCACACCAACACCAGCTCTGTGTTTCTGAGCTGGAGGTTGGTTCCATCAGTCTGACAGTTCAGTGCCAGATCCTTCTGCTATAGCCTGTGGGAGAGCAGTGAACCCCTTGGGAAAAGCCTCCAGCCCTGGTGCCCCACGTCACCTGCCAGCAGCCGAACTTGGGTACATTTAACAGCCAGCGGCATTGCTCAGTTTATTCCCCCAAAGGTGTTTGTTCATTTGGGGGTTGCTTGTGGATGTGCTGCCCTAGTCAGGTTTTCCAAGGAGGCACCAGAGGGCCAGGCCCCAGGTCCCCCGTGCTCTGGATCCCCGAGTTCTGCTGGTGCTCGATAAGACCTGACCACAGAACCAGCTGTTCCTGTGTGCGGGGTGGAAGGGATGCTGTGTTCCTCTTTCTTTGCCACTTATGGAAGACAAATGTAGTACTGATTGTTATAAATTGGTATAAGAATTTAGACGACTCAATTCCAGTTAAACATTGATAAATTTATTAAGCAAGCGATAATAAAGCAAAGACAGCACTGGGTGGTCTGGGGGGCAAGTGCCCCGCCGGAGACACACACCAAAATGTAGCAAATGTCCCTTTTTATACATTTTCAAGTCCCGGGTTTTGAATGTAAATCTGCTTTGTGGTTGTGAGTGTATGGCTCGTTGTTACCTATCTTCTGGGATTCATCAAAGATGAAAGCTGTAGTTCTTATCAGTTGTAAATTCTACCTATACTGACACTTGTTTGTTTACCAGGATGTCTGTGAAACTTTTGTTTAATTACAACAAAAGTTTTTTATTCCTTTATACACATAAGATTTTATGAACAAAGTTAACCCTTCTATTACAATCCTCCCTTTTTTTTCTTTTTTTTTTTTTATAATGGTAATAATTTTATTAAAAATACATGGTCTAAATGTTAGTCTTAAAATTAATAAAATAAGAGGTTTTGTAATAGTTGAGAACAGAGTAGTTAACAAAGGTGAATAGTTAAACATAGATTCTTATTTAAAGGGCTGATGATTATTAGTTATTTTTGTGTTTGTTTTTGTTATTGGTATACTGAGTACACAACAATATAGAGAGGCCCACTTTTAAATTATTGGTGGAGACCTTGAGGAAACATAACTAAGGCTTAATTTTCTGGTTTGGTTTTGTCTCTCTTTTTTTTTTTTTTTACAGAATGTTAGTTTTTAGTTCAGTTTTATTGAGAGGCTTGTCATATACTTACGCACCCACCTTAGTACGCCTCTGCCTCCCTTGCCTACTCCGTGGCGTGGAGCAGCGAGGTATTTTGTAATCTTCTCGACAGCAGTCGTATTCTTCAGGGGTTATATGGCCTCCAAGTTTAAGATGTTTTGAAGGAAAAGAACGCACTCTCAAAGTATTATAGATAAAGTACTTCAATCATTATTGTTTGTTCTTTTTACTTTAAAGGGTAGAATAAAAATTCTTTCCTTAGGTGGCATTTTATAAAGTGCTTCCACCAATAATTTTATCGGTGTATTGATTTAAGGGTTTGGTTTGCCTTTTTCCACGCAAACTTTATAGTACAGTGTTTTATTGTGGTTTTTTTCCAGTTTTTTTTAGACATTTTTCATGTCCTTGGGATTAATAGTTAATATAATTTTTAAATTATATTCAGTACATTGACAAACTATTCATTCTTTAGGATTTAAATGGGGATGTTTTAAACAGGGTATGCCTCTAGGTATTTTATGAAGTACAGGAATATCGGTTTTTATTTTATAACAGTGGGGAGATGAATATGGGTTCCTATTATTTTAAAGATTGTCCCTGATTCGAGGGGAATTCTGTTTGGATGCCAAGGTATATAATGGGTTATTTGTAAAGTATATGGAGGAGGTATTTGGAATCACTTCTACAGCAGGGGGGGAGTGCTTTCCTAGAAATTTGGAAAGAATTGTTATTTATTCACCAGTCTTTTCCTTCTCAAGATTAATTTCAGACCGTCTGTAGTTCTTTCCGTAGTCCAGTGGTCACTTGGGAGAGGTTCTTTCATTCGGGAGGTGTGTCCATCCTCACTCTGCAGTACGGATCGTAGTCTCTGCTGTGTGCAGTTCCTGGAATGGACTCTCTCAGCAAGGGGTTAAAGATGTTTCCTTCCCAATCCCCAGGGTTTATCCTATGCATTTTGAAATTTAAGGGTGTTGTTTGGGCCCAGGTCTCCCTTTGCTTTCTTTTCAATTCTGCCACAGCCCCCTCCACTTTTACACTGAGTTGGATCAGGACACAGAGAGCAGGAATACCCCCAGGCTGGGAATAGGAGAGTACACAGGAATTAATATAATTAGTCTCAGTCACCACAGTGATCTGCCGAGAGCCAGCAGCAGACTTTAGCTCATAAATACAATTCTGTTTACTTGGGTTATCACATCGTCTCTTTTCGTTTTAACAAAATGGGTTTCAGTATAAAATAAACGCTAAAATTACTTTTTACTTTAAGGCTGTGTTTAGGAAGGAAAAAGAAAATATTTCTTTCTCTCTTTTCCCCGCAATCCATAGAAATGAAACTTGACTCAGGGCAGCTGTATCGTAGTTCTCCAACAGAGTTCCCTCCATGCTAGGAATTTGTAAAGAAATATGCCAAATAAGTTTATGGAAAAGAAATAAAAATAAAAATATATGTATTCATCATATAAATTCTAATTTTTTTTTCTATTAAGGGTATTTTAGTCAGTTCTTTAAGATATGTTTACATCTTATACAGGGTAATATAAACAGATTGGTAGTAAATAGCCTGGAAGTTACTTCATAGGGTTAGTGAGAAGAAGAAACATTTTCTTAGTGAAATTAGGGTAGATTAGGTTTGATGTAATTAATGGGTATTCAGTCCACACACATGATGTATACAAAGTCCCCTCTTTAGGTGGAAGGGAGAAGAAGTAAAGGTGATACTAACACTGAAGTCTTTGTTAAAAGTGTGGTTTTCAGTACAGAATATACATTAAAATTACTTTTGTGTACATATCTTCAGATGACAAATAATTGGGATTATTTTATGTTTGTGTGAATGTTTAAAGGCACAGACACGTAGTGAAAACAATGTTATCTTATTATTTCATACATTTATACGAACTATGATTATAATAGCTTATGATATTAACAATGGTCCTATTGCATTTTCTTTAAAAGATGAAGTTTTTGACAGTAAAATTATACCACACTTTCTTATGTTACACTGGTAAATGCAACCACAGACTTACTATATCAGAGTTTCTAATTTCAACTCAGATTTTTAATAAAAGTATTAATTAATTAATCAGTTTGAAGTCCCATCCTCTTTCCCTAGCTCTTCTGGAGAGGGGAAGCACTATTCCTCCTTTCTTTCTGACTTTCTCTTCTCAGTTCTTTCCTTCCTGCAATTCTTTCCTTCTCTCTCTATCGACTCCAACACTGTTCTTATCTTTCCCTCTTCCCAAGCCATCAAAACTAAAGCTGCAGACTTTTCCTTTCATCACAGCAGACACTGTTTCTTCAGCTCTCTTGCCCCCCTCCCTTTTCTTTTTTCAGTTTTTGACACTGTGGTCTCAATTTTGTTACGATTTTTGTTCTTAGATTTAAACTTGTTTTATGAGAAGCTTGGTAAAGTTTTCCTTTTTTGTTTCATTTACTTTAACTGATTTTTTTTTTCTCTGGCTTTGGGGAATTTTGATTATATATGTTTGATTAGTTTTAATATTTACTAGGATTTGTTATATTTTTCGTCCTGGGGTCTTAATTTAGTTTTATCAAGAGTTTGTTATGATGTTTTAGTCCCAGGAATTAAATAATAAAGTTCTTGACGCTTTTTATCTTTTTCAGCTTATTTAAATGGGTTTAGGTCTCTCTGTCTTTTTGGACAATTTCCTTTTAGATGACTTTTTCTTACAATAAGAACATTTTATAGTTTGGACTTTTGGACCAATTTGCTGAGGCATGTTCATGTATAGTTTTTGGGTTTCTTTCAGTAAGTTTTTGAGCCCTCTGTTTTGCCATTCACTCGATTTCTTTAGTTCTTTTCTAAGATTATTTTAGGCATGATTTACAAAGTGGATTTTTAGTAATATTTGATTAATTGAGGTGTTAGGATTAATGCTTAAATATTGTTGTAAATTTTTCTTCAGTTTTTTTAACCATGCCCTGGGTGTTGATTTTTTTTTTTAAATGTTTTTATGATATTTTGTTCATGGGGGCTAGTCACTTTAAGTCCCCAGATTAATGAAGTATAATAATTAGTTACGTGTTGCCAATTTAAGGCTGAGTCATGGTTCTCACTGGGAGAAACGTTGGATTGCATTTTCTCCCAGGTATAGATATTAGGTTTTAAAATTTGGTTTAACTGTTTTGTTATTCCCAAGAGGTTTTCTAATAATAAAGTTCTGACTTCTCTCGAGGTTGTCCATCTCCTCCTCCGAGTTTTAGTGCTTTCAGGATTCTCACACCTCTGATCTGACAAGGCAGTGAGATTTGCAAACAGAGGGGTGTAACGGGGGATTCAGCAGTGCTGTGGAAACACCCCCCCCCTTCAAATTCCTTCAGTTGTTGTTGATTCCTCCTATGGAAGATGAAAATGCTTCTCAAGTGTTGACCGCCAGGGCTGTCATATTGATGCTCCCCAGACCACACAGGCCAAGCTGCTCCTCTCACAGCCCCTGCCAGCTCCTCCCTGCTTCTGCCCCTGCTTCTGCTTCTGACAACTAAAGCCTCTGGTGGTCTGTCCCACTGCTCCCCAGTGACCCCTGGCTGTAACTGGGATCTGGTCCTGGGCATCGCCCTACCACTGGCACTTGGCTTTTCCCTGTTCCTGGAGTTGGCTCTTCCCTTCAGCATCTCAAGCTCTGCCAGCATGGATGGTGCTGGGAGCTGTGTCATTCCATGGCTGGCAGTGCCTGTGTCCCCACCCCACGGTTGGCAGCACGCAGGGAGACAGTTTGCTCACGCAAGGAGGATTCACACACCTTAAGGTGTGTCTCTGGATCCTGCCCTCATCTGTGCCACCATGGGAAACGCTTGTGCTGGCAGCTGGTGCCTCCCCAGGATGAGCCCAAACTTGTCCCTGGTGGGATCCCTCCTTTGCTTCGAGGCTTGGGGCCAAACTGATTGGCACTGCTGGTTGGTGGCTCAGCATGGCCCGATGAGCTCTGCAATTGAACCCCTGCTCACTGCGCTGACTCATAAAAATACCGATCAGTCTGAACTTGTCATTGCTGCACAGTGCACACTGATTGTGCGATGACACAGACTCTTGTCTCACACGTGCCGTGCCTGCTGCAGCTCGCCAAGCTGCAGGGTATGGGGGCACCCTCCTTCCTTGCCCTGACCTGAGCTCTGTGCCTCTGCTGCACCCCCCTGGCATTGGGTGGTCCTGGGAGGCTGGGTCTGTGTCAGTGGAAGCAGGAAGGGCTTGGGGAGTGTGGGCAGGAGGCACGAGGGCTGGAGGCAGTGGCATATGGGGGTATCTGTCTGTCTGTCCCTGTGTGTGTCCCTGCAGGCACGGGCAGCTCGGCCACGGGATGCTGGAGTCGGAGCCGCAGCCACGGCTGGTGGAGGCGCTGGCCGGGGTGCCCATGTGGGCAGTGGCAGCTGGCGGGTGGCATTCGGCCAGCGTCAGTGGTGAGGAGCTGGGCCTGGCGTGGGAGGTCAGGACACTGGTGGCCTGGTGGGACCTGGCCCAGGGGTGGGGAGTGGGGTGCACCCAGCACTGCTGCTAAGGGCTGAGCTCTGCCTGATGCATTTCCCCTTCACCCTGCAGAGGCAGGAGACCTGTACATGTGGGGCTGGAACGAGTCAGGGCAGCTGGCTCTGCCCTCCAAAGCACTGGTAGAAGAGCAGGCTCAGGATAATGTGGGCACAGGTGGGTGCTGCTGGCTGGGCTGGGGGCAAGGGGTCTCTGCACAGCTGAGTGCAGGGCCAGTGCAGTTCAAGGCTGCAGGAAATGCCAGTGGTGCCCAGTCACTCCTGGGACCTGAGAGTCAGCTCTTCTACAGGGAATGCCAAGCTGGTGCCCCACGGCGAGCAGTCGGCTGCCAAAGACACCTCATTCATCTCCATCCAGGCATTCCCAGCGCTGCTGGATCTGCCACAGGACCTGGAGGTCAGTGGGGTGAGCTGCGGGTCCCGACACACAGCTGTTGTCACACGTGAGTGCCTGGTGGGGGGCAGGGGGCAGCACCCCTCAGGGGGGGAGAGAGGGGCTTAGGGTTGCAGGGGCTCATCAGGCACTGGCTGATGGTCCTGTTCTGCTTGCAGGAGGTGGAGAGCTCTACACCTGGGGCTGGGGTAAGTGACACCTCGTCTTTGGGACCTTACAACCCCCACAGGAGCAGTTTCTGGTTCCTGTTCCTTCACCCTTGGCTCTTTTATCACTGTGAGGGTCCCATTTGTGCCAGGGGGCTCTCGTGTTCCCTCTCCCCAAAAATGTCCAGGAGTCATCACCCTGTGAGGCCCCAGGGCCACATTGTGTCGCAACTGTGTGTCTGCAGGTAAATACGGACAGCTGGGACACGGGGACATCACCAGCTCTGACCAGGCACGCCGGGTTGAGCACCTGGTGGCTGAGGGGCTGCGGGCAGAGGAGGTGGTGTGTGGGCCCTGGACCACCTATGTCCGTGTGTTGGAGCTGTGAGGGCCCCAGAGCCCCCCCTGCCCCACCATGGCCCCTGCCATGAGGAGGATGAGGGTGAGCTTTGCTCTGTAGGACCAGCCCCAAGACCATCTGGGACATGGATTGAGGCTGCAGGCCCTGAGGGTGGCTCCTGCTTGGCTCACACTCCTGGAGCCGCACGAGATTTTGGGGTGTCGAATTTTCCCCTCACCCAATCCCATTCCTTCCCCCCATTTCTTCTCCTCCTGCTCACCACAGGCACCACCCCAACAGACTTGGAGTTGGGGACTGTACAGGGACTTTATTCACAACATCTGGAAAAATTTTTTAAATAAAAGCAAATTTCTCAAAGGGGGATCTGGAGATGGGTTATTCTGGAGTGGGTGACGTTGCGGAGCCACTGGAGAGTTGGCTCCTGCTGGGTGTGGGGGTCTCAGCACGAAGCATTGGTGGTGGTCGAGTTGAGGACGCGGGAGGTGCTTTCAGAGCTGGAAGCCTTTGAAAGTTCGCGCTGTGGGAACAAGAAAGGGAGATGAAGGGAGGGGCAGCAAGGTCAGGGTTGCTGCTTCAAAGGTCAGTAGGGACACAGGGAGGGGGTTGGGGAGGGCAGCCCAAGCTGCTAAGGGGAGATAGAATACTAACTAATAATAGAAATATATAACCTGTAGCCAATGAACATTAATGCCTTTGCTAAAATGCATATATAGTAAAAAGTTTTGATAGTTGGGTGCTTGATTTGTAGGAACCTCCACCTTGCACCCTGCTCCGAATAAATAATGTCTCCTTTTTAAACCTCTTTGTCCATGTTTTAGAGACCTCCTAAAATCTGCAGCATCAGTAGGAGAAGGGAACAGGAACAGTTGTGTTCAGCTGCTGGAGGAAGGGAACTCGTGTCAGGAATGTGCTTCCATCACAGACCAGCCCCAGCCCTGCCCAAGGCTGGGTGCCAGCCTGGGAACACAGCCTGGAGCACAGAACCCTTCAGCCTAGTCCCAGGGCACACAGCGTGCCCCAACACCAGCTCAGCTGCCACAGGGAAGAGATTGGGGCAGTCCACTGTCACACAGAGGTAAAACTCAGGCTCAGCCCATCCTGACAAAAGGACAGAGGCTGCCAAGGGCCCCCCAGCCCTAGAGAGGAAAGCCCCATCCCCTGGCAGAGAGCTGGGGCAGCCCCTCCGCAGGCTCTGCTCACCTCACCACTCCCAGAGACTAGTGGAAAAGGTGGAACTGAAGCAGGATCCCCTTACGGGCTCAACAAGCAGAGCTGGGCCTTGGGCTCTGTCCCCACACAGGGGTGTCAAGCCCAGACTGTCCCCTGTGCTGGTGTCTGTCCCCAGAGGCTGCTCAGGGCCTGTGTGTCACGAGCAGCGTGAGGCCTCCACCACCAAACCGCAGTTAAAGTTCTCCATGTGGAGCCACAGGCACGGGCAGGAACAGCCACCCTGTGTGGGGACATGGGGGGCTGCGCAGGGACATCGGGGGGATGTGGCCCTGGGGGTGCTCGGGGCAGGGGGAGCGTCTGTCCTGTGCCACCTGGGGAGGGGGTGGGGTTAGAAGAGGTGAATTACCACAAACTCAGAATAGGTGCTGGCAACAGAACTAACGCTGTGGTTACGCTGGGCAGGGGCTGTGGGGGTGCACCCACCGCTCAGGGTGGTTCCTTCCAGCTGGGACACGTTCTCCTTGTTCCACTGCCTCAGCCTGGGTCGGGTGGGCTTCGCTGCCGTGCGGCTGGGGGTCCGGGCACGGCCAAACTGCAGGAGGAGGCAACAGTTACAGGATGCAGGAACAGAACAGAGGCAGGAGAGCTGTGACAGCTTCAGTGCCTGTCCCTCTGTGGGGCCAGAGCAGTGTCAGGCTCTGGGTGCCCTCCGGGGTCTGGGGCTGAATTCTGGTCTCAGAAACATATAGCATAGAGTTACAGAATCCTGGAAATGATTTGGGTGGGAAGGGACCTTAAAAAGCCCATCTTGTTCCACCCCAATGCCAGTGGCAGGGATGCCACCCGTTAGACTAGGGTGCTCAGGCCCTGTCTAGCAGTACAACCATGTTTGGAAGGTCCCCTGAGCTGCACGCTCAGCACCAAGGAACAGGGGTACACTAGAAATCTGGCCAGAGAAAGATTTCTTGCCACCCTCCTCCCCCCTCAGGTCCCAGAAACACCCCACCAGGATGGCAGCAGCCTCATGGAGCAGGCTGCAGACAATCAGGAGCTTCAGCCGCCCAGGAACTTGGCAGGGGAAGCAGTGAAGCACAGGGTGACAGCAGGCAGAGCTACACCACCCCAGCTCGCCCATCCCAGCCCTGGGCACCCCCAAGGCACCCCACCTTCTTCCCAGAGGGCGGCAGCCGAGACGTGGGCGAGTGGGAGATGGTTCCCCCAAAGGCTGAGCGAACAGTGCTGTTGGGGGTGGTGCTGGCGATGGAGGTGCCGTGGAACTGAGGAGAAAGCAGAGCACACGTTACATGGGGACACCTCCCTGCAGAGCCACAGCACCCTGACCCCTCCTGCAGGGCCAAGGCCAGGCTCCAGCTCAGGGGGAGCTCAGCTCCGGGCAGGGCCCTGGCCCAGCTGCACTGCTCCACAGGGACATTTTACCTTCCTTACTTTGGCAGGTGTGTGGGGGCTGAGGACACGCCGTTTGATGGGGGTCCGTGGGGTGCTGCCATACAGCATCTCCGTTTCTATCTGCCGGCTCTTCTTCAGGTGCTGTGGGAGACATGTGCACTTACACGCCTGAACACCGTGGAGCTGGTGCACCTCTGTGCCACTGCCAGTGGGCAGTGCCCTGCCAGTAGCCCGGCAAGGCCACACAGCAGGCGTTTCATCTAAGATTTATAGATATCCAGAGCCAAGTGGCACCTCTGGCACAGCTAGGGCCAAGAAAGGAGCTCAGCACACACAGACACAATACCAGTGGGCATCTGTCCCACTACCTGCTGCTTCCAGGCTGGGATGGAGCAGGCAGAACCCAGGGCAGCAGCTGTGGGGCACTGGGGCCCACCAGACATTCCCAGGCTGGCATTCCCAGGCAGGAGCCAGCATGGTCAGCTCCACACTCACCCGCTCTTGCTTCTCCTTCTCCTTCTCCAGTCGGTACAGCTGCCACTGCTCTGACACGTATTCCATGAACTGCTGCCCCTTAACCAGGAAAGGCCCCTTGAACTCCTGCTCCCAGGCTTGGACCTTTCTCTCCAGCTCCTCCTGCAGCTGATCAGGACGTGAGGTCAGTGTAGGGACTGACCAAACGTGGGTGTCCCCATGCTCAGGGAGTCTTTCTTCTTGGTCAGTGGGACCACAGCTCCTTCCCCAAGGTTAGACCTACCCTGGACAGCGTCTTCTGCAGCTTTGCTCTCTGCTTCTCTTCCTTAAGCAGGTTCCCCCCACGGTTGGTGAAGCGGCTGGGGTCAGTTGCTTTTCTCTGGTACAGAAGAGGGGTCAGAAGATACTTAAACACACCACCCAGCTCCCCCCACCCCCGGGGAGCCAGCCTTGCACAAACACCCCAGTGCTCAAGACAGCCCCTCAACCCCACACTGGCCCCCCATGCCTCCCCTGTGCCTCCCTGCTCCTTCCCAGAGCACTCAGCCCCTGGGGAGCAGAGGTGTGTGCTGCCCCATGACCCAGCATGCTCCTGCCCAGATAATACCTCCAGCTCCAGGAAGAGCTTCCAGTTCTCCTCCCATTTCTGAACCGTGTCAAACAGATCTTTGTGTTCTTCATAGTAGCTCTTTATCTTGCCCACCTCGTGATCATGCAGCTCGAGCAGGGTCTCTGTGTAATCGTCTGGAAGGGCACAAGAGCCTGGTCAGGGGGCAGTTGGGACCCCTGGGCCCCTCCCCCCAGCTGCCTGGCCCGCCAGCACCCACCATCATAGAAGGGGCTGAAGCCTTCCCTCTGCTCCTGGCTGTAGAAACATTTGTCCCAGTAGTCAACCAGTTCTGCCCGGATCGCCTGGATCACAGATTTCATGTTCTGCAGCTTCAGCTCCTCCAGGTGATCCACTTCCAACTGCAACTGCTCCCAGGATCAGAGAACAGGTCAGGGAGAAAAAGAAAAGGCAGAACAGGATTCATCTTCTGCACAAGCCACTTTCTAGGATGAGGCAGCTGCCAGAAACAACCCCCACCTTCTCCTGCTATGAGGGCAGGATTTGGCCCACTCCCTTCACCACTGACTGAGCAAACAGGAACATGAGAGCCCCAGGAGCTGCTGCCCCCAGCCCTCCTGCCTTGGGCATAGCAGGGTCCTTACAGCTCTCCTGGTTTTGGCTCTGGACCCATCCACGTGCACGGCCGAGGTCTCTCTCTCCTCCTGTGGGATCTGTAGCCTCTCCCAGAGTGCAACAATCCTGGAGCGCAGCTCCGCGCACACGGCCTCGTTCAGAGCCCGCCGGGCTTCCAGCTGCAGGGACGGGGAGCAGAGGGTCAGTGCAGCCCTTGGCTCTGCTACACCCGCAAAGCCACGCACTCAGCACCCAGGATCTCCTCAAACCCCCAAAAGGATGTTCTGACACACAGCCTTGCCCAAGACCCAGCAGTCACTCTTGCATTGTGATGGCAGCTGCTGTCAGGACCCACAGCAGCCCCAAATGCTGCCTCGGTGTGTGGCGTACCTGCTGCAGCAGGTTCTGGAGGGCCACGATGTTGTCCTTGGACAGGCAGAACTCCTCCTCGTTCTCGCACACCACGTCCCGCTCGAAGCTGGTGTCTGGGGTGTGGTCCAGCTCCTCCATGAGCAGGATGATCTGGCGCTTGTTGCTGACAAACTCTTCCCACCTTTGCTCCTGGAGGTGAGGGGCAGCGTCAGGAATCAGTGGGCCCCTCGTGGGTCCTTCGGCAACCTCCTCAGTCTCCCCGCTCACCTTCAGGGTGTTGAGGGAGGCCACGTGGCGCCGGTAGCAGTCCAGGTCCTCCAGGCTGGGCACGGCAGTGCTGTCAATGTTGAACAGGGCTGTGCACAAGATGTCACACAGGTCCCGGTCCTGTTCCTGCAAGGCCTTCAGCTCCTGCTTCCGGTCCTGCTTCTGCCTCTGCAGCTCCTCCACACGCATGCGCAGATTCTTCTCCATCTGCAGGATGGTACTTTCCTCCTCTGTCTGCAAGAGATCAGAAATCAGCTCTGCTCCACACCTCTCCCACACGCGGTTCATGTTTTGGGAGTTTAAATGAAGTCCAGGGGTACAAGGCCTAGGTCTGGGCAAGATGTTCCCCAGGAAGTTGCAAACAGAACAGCAATACACAAAACGAGGTGACGGAGAACACCTCACCACCCCTTCTCAACACCTGGCCTGTAAGGAGCCACAAAGCCCTCGGCTCTACCAAGCACTGAGTTTTGAACAGGCAATT